CCCCCCCCCTCCGAGTATTTTTTTTGTTATTTGTCAATCCCATACCCTTTCTTTTGATTATGATGGTCTCTCTAGATTCAACTCAGACGAGCATACGGCAGAAAAATTCATTTCCACCTCTATCGGGCCGTACCTGATTGCATTCAAATTACAGTCCATACTGGCCGGGAAACCGGAGTATGATATCAAGGGATTTGAAGAAACCGTAGTGACGGATAACTTTCGATTCAACAATGACCAACAGATCGTCAGTGTTTCCGTTTTCTTTCGATTCCTCAGTTGATTGGTTTATTTATTTTTTTTGCCTCCTCAAACATCCACGATTTTATGATGGATGCAGGTTGTTATGACGCCAAGCGATGTGTTTGTCCAGAAACGAAACAAGTTATCTCGGCCCCATCGCCAATCTTTAGATAGTCACCGATCATCAGGTCACGTTAGAAGAATCAGACCTTCTATATAACTGATAAGGTAGCTTTCAATAATATTGGTGTGTTACAGAGTTACCAGGGAATCACAATTTGTATTCCAAATGATATTCCTAGTCTTTTCTCATCAAGATGATTCCGTGTTGATTTGGTGGTTATTATTTTCAATTGGCCATGGCCTGGCCTGTCTATTATTCTGTTGCCTCTTTCATTACAGTGATTTATCTGTTGGTTTGATCTTCTGACACAATTATCAAATATATTTTTGTACGAGTTACATAGTTCAGAAATGCGCTAAGATGTGAAATTTGCCAAAACTGGTTTGATCTTGTATGTGCAACAATCAGTCAGAGTATGTACCTTCTGTAGAACTACTGGTTCTATCTGCCTTTTTTCAGACTCTAGATACTACGATTTGCCCCTTTGTAAGTACCCCAAGTCTGACACCCGGTGATCAAACATTGGGCTCAGACATTTTACCCACACTCCACCCAACACTGCAACAGATATGATGCATGTGTTGTATTGTATTTTGTTGTGAATACTTGTTTCCTCAGATAATTTGTATCACCCTGGTCAACAAATGAGATACAGATACAATGTATATTTGGCCTGGCCAATATAAAATGCAATTAAACACACTGGAATTGTATCAGAATTTGATACAGTACAAGTAATGTATTCACATATTTTTGTGTATTTTCTCTCCACTACTTTTAAATTACATTTTTGCCCAATTTTTGGAGATTTCTTGCATTATTTTTGTATTTTACATACCATACATGTGTAGGGAAACCAAAAGAAACCCAATTCACAGGAGGAGGATGTGAACCCCGCATCTCAGGTTTCACAAAACTAAGCTTACATAACCTCCAGATCAATCAGTGGTGGGCCGCTACACTACGCTTTTGGCCCAAAAAACATAGCGTAGCGGCACCTCTTTGCACCAAACATTTGTAGTGTTAGCGGATTTTTGCTACGCTACACTGCACTACAGGGCCAAAAAAAAACGCTAACCAGTGTGTTAGCTTAGCGTAGTGCGCCCTTTTTTGGGGCCTATGTGTGTAGTGTTAGTGAAGATGTGGCAGAATTTGGCTACACTACGCTAAAGTTTAGCGGGATTCTGCTACACTAACACTACGGTTAGTGTAACTGGCCCACCGTTGGATCAATATATAATCCTTACTCACCCTGCACCCCACCTAACTCAGTAGAGACCCAACCTTACTTGCCTTACTACTGAGCTAGGTAAGCCATTTCTTAATTCTCATGAACCATTCTCCTTTTCCTCTTTTGTTCTCTTCTTTTTTCCTTCTGCTTCTTTGATCTGATTACCTTTAATGTACATTACAAAAGAGAGACCCAACCTTACTTATCTTACTACGTCTGAGCTAGCAATTATCATCTTTTTGGTTCTAGACTAGGTCTCCAGAGCATACAGCTCTGATTCTAGGTAGAATACTTGACAGTCTTAGTGAAGAGTTGAACACAAATCTTACAGAGGAGGTGTAAGAATGGGACTTCAAAAGATTATACCAAATACATAGATGAAAATACCAGTAGAATGAAGAACCTCTATGTTTCAATGTGAAGCCCCCCATGGCCCAACACTCGCATCAAGGAAAAGGGCCTGTCACACATTTCACACACATGTCACATAGGCTTCTCAATCAGACAGACAAACTTACGTGGTAAACAATGAACATCTACAAAGTTCTGACTTGAAACAATTCCCCCACTTCTGTGGGCCTGGTGGCTGGCTGGTGCCACTTGCAAAGCATGTCTCTGAAGGAGGGACTTGTGCCTAATAGTAATACTAATACACACATGCTCACATGTCCCTATCAACCTGTCTTGGTGTAGAGAACCTCAGACCAGCCACCAGGAATGTAGTTTTCGTTTGTTTACAGGCATAGTCAACATGGTCAAAGTTGACCAAGTTGCTGTTCTTCTCATGATCAGAATCTTAGGGATGTTTCCTGAAATTTGGATGAGTAAGTTTTTTGTTTTTTGTTTTGTTTTTTTTGTTTTTTTTTTTGGAAAAAAAAAACATGAAGTATTGAAAATCCCAAAAATCTATCAGAAGGGCCAGGATAAAACAGCCTTAGAGGGTTCTCAAATTTCAAAGTGCCGTTCATACATGATTACTAGGGCTTGTGAGAGGCTGTGCCACCCAGTGATCTTGCCCCAATTTCCAATATTGTAAAAAAAATGGTTATCTTTTGTATATGTGTCAACAATTGACTCAAGAAGAATCATGAATGGCCATCCCTGCTATCCTCTAATACTAATGCACTGTGAATTCTGCATTGCACAAATTACTTCTCATTGACATAACAGTGTTGGAGCCAGAGGGTGGAAAGCTTAGATACACCAATTGATGCATGGACAGTAGCAATCTTCAATGTCTTTGGTGATCAGTCATGAAGGCCGGATATAATTTCGGTAGATGAGGGGTCATGTTTGGTCAAGTGATCTAAAAGGTTGTGGTGTAGGTAGGGTGGTTTGGGAGAGTGGAGGTATACAGCTGAGTGACAATACATGATCAGAGGGATGGAATGGCTAGCTAATGAGAACGACTGAAGGTATTGTTTACTTTCCTTTTTAATTAGAAGGTTTTCTTTGCGGTGTGGGATTTCCTCCAGAAAATGTGTCTTTTCTAAAAACAGAGCTCTTGGGCATGAGTTTTGGCTACTGGTTTATCATTGGCCACACAGCTGAGCTGAAGCCTTGCATTCCTTGGCACTCAGCAGTCTGTACTTTGTGTCTCGATACAGACCCGATCAATTGACCGCGATAGTTCTGCTGCAAGCACTTTTGAGAGTCCCCAGAGCCATTGTGAGCCAAGATTTGAATCTCCCAAAGTCCACCTCAAGAACAGCCAAATGGGGTACCAAAATGGTTGGTCTGTGTACCTGTTGTAGATGTGGTGTGAATTCACAGGCCACGTTACAAATGGCGAGCTCATCAGAAATCATTTGTGCATCAACCAAAGAGAAAAACCCCTCGAGGAAAAATTAAGAAGAAAAAAAAATGTGATAGCTATTTATTTATCTGCTCGGCAAAAAAGTGTGATGAGACGAGGCGATCTTGTATGGGATTTCTTGGTGAAAAGTGAGGGGTAGAATGACTACATGATGCGACTACTAATATAACGGTGATCGATGAGCCAAGACACTCAAGCCCAAGCACCCGACTTTTTCCTATCAAAATGAAATAGGAAACGAAGATTGCAAGAGTGAGTGATCGGAGAAGAGAGACTGGAAGGACTACCGTCCTAGTCGATCGAAGCGATCGGTGGAACTGAATAAAGGATTTGGGGGACTTACATCTGATAACGAGCGATGGCAAAGGGGGTGAAGAATCCGACGAAGAAGAAGCTGGCGATTTTGACCGCAAGGCCGGCTTTGGAGGTCTCGGGTCCGCGGAATTTGAACGGCAAAGTCTTTTGGCGGGCCACACAAACCAGAAAGAGGTGGATGTGAGTTCCAGGATGAGAGCATTTTTTTTGTTTTTGCTTTTTTTTGAAAAAGATTGGGGATGTATAGCTTACGTTTCCGACCGAGTTTTCGATGTGGATCGATTGGATCTGTTGTTGATGGAACCGGTTCAAGGCCAGGTTAGATCGGAGGTTGCTTGGGTTCTGCTTGTTGATCAATCCGGTCCTCGGCTGGAGTCTGGGGAGGTTCTTGGTGAGCATTCTTCTTGAGTGGTTGTTCCTGTTATTATCTGGTTTCTTGTTTTTTTTTTTTCTGTGGTGGTGGGTTTGATGGTCTTGTGCGTCGACCTGCCTGGCCGTCCAGCCTGGATGTTCCGGGGATGCTCGTTACATCCATGTGACATCTGCCATTCAACCGGCTGTCACAAACTCCGCAAAACATCACCAAGCCGTCCTGAATTCTTGCCCGGCCATGATGACCCTTGATCAGCTCCGTCGCCCTTTCTCCGGCGTTCTGGCCGGCCGGCTGGGATCTCATTCGACCGATGGGCAGCAGCCGCCGGCACCATTGCACAGGAAACAAGACCAAGAAAGCAAAACGTCGAAAGCGTCTACAAATTGTTTCCCAGACTCAGAATGTGTAATGCTTCGGGGTTTCAGATGATGCTTCAACCACACGGACGCTAATCGTATTACAGGATCTGAAGGTCCTCCGCCCATTCGAGACCAATTCAGTAGACCGCCCTCCTCCAGATCCGGACTCACCCGGATCGGAAGTTACCATCAGGCCGACCACCACCCGGGCCGGGGCGGGTCGATCCTCGCCGTCCTCCGGCAGACAAGGGACGCCACAGGACCAGCTCGATTGATCAGAGGGCTCCCGTTGAAAAGAGGCTTCGTTGAGCTCGGGTTGAAAAGGGACCATGTCAGAATGCTTTAGTTGACTACATACTGATAAATGTTCGAATTTGGAAGAAGTGGATATCAGATCTCGTTGCATGTTTGAGATGTGAAACTCGGTGGCGGCCGATTATTGGTCGATGACATCACTGCAGTCGTCTGGTCAACAGAACTTAGCAAGGAAGAAAGGAAGTTGTTTCCGATTCCCAGGGACTGTTCCTTCCAGACATTCGGACCACCACCAATTCAAGCTCTTGAAACCTCAGCCTCCCAAACCCACCGCCTTCCTCCTTCCTTCTGCCACCCTCCGGATCCCCAGCAAGCTTTAAACTCAGCTCACACTCCCACCGATCATCCAGCCATCTGCCCACCTGACCAACTCCCATCCCACAAAACCATTCTTATCTTCTGCTTTCGAGATGGCCTCCAACGCTTGCCCGACACTAGCTACCTTCAAGCTACCCGAAATCCCAAACGAACCCAACGTAAGCTCCCATTCCACATCCACCAGCATCGCGTCCATACTAATCCATCCCCGATTTATCTGGAATTCTCAACCACTCAGCAACATTATGAGCCTGGAAGCTCCTCCAGAATCGCCTTGGATGCAGCTATCAAAGAGATGAGAGCGGGAATGCCATATTCAGTCGGACCCGTGATTGATGGTGTGGAGGTATGCACATCTTTCAATTCCCTAGATACATTCACCTAAACTGACCTTTGTCATTTGCTCGGCGTATATTCAGTTACACAACGGTCCCACCGTAGCCCAAGTGCTCCCACATGATCACAAGACCGTGCTTTGTAACTTCCACACGGCTTCACCTGAGTCAGTTGAATCCCGTATCTCTTCTCAAATCCTCAGGGCCAGTCTGTTGACCCTCTTTCTGAACAAATAATTATAATCTCTTTTTTAGATTGATCACCAAGTCAATCGAAGGATGCTTGAAAGCCAAAGCCCAATGGGAAGCTCTCCCATTCAACGACCGATCTGCTATCTTCTTGAAGGCCGCCGACCTCCTATCTTCCCCCAGATGGAGGTACAAAATCATGGCTGCTACCATGCTTGGCCAAGGAAAGAACGCCTGGCAGGCTGAGATCGACGCCGCTGCTGAGGTTAGAAGAAAAAAAAAACTCACAACTTGTCCGCTTCCTTGGCGACGAAAATTCCCTGAACTGAGCTGTTTTTGTTCTTCTTTCTATCTATAATTAGATGTGCGATTTCTTCAGGTTCGGTGTCAAGTACGCTGAGGAAATGTATGCTCAACAGCCACCTAAGAACTCGGCGGGTGTGTGGAAGTAAGTGACGAAACCTCTATCCACGCTTTTGAGATTGGATCCTTACTGTAGTCCTCCCCCATCCATCTTTCACCTTCTTCCTAGCCGAGTGGAGTACAGACCCCTAGAAGGCTTTGTATATGCGATCTCGCCTTTTAACTTTACTGCCATCGGTGGTAACTTGGCCGCCGCACCTGCCCTGCTCGGAAACGTGGCTGTCTGGAAGCCGTCTCCGATGGCCGTCTATGCCAACTACCTGACTTACAAGCTGTTGGAAGAGGCCGGGCTCCCCAAAGGTGTCATCCAATTCATCCCCGTTGCCGGAGCTGATGTGGAACCCGCCTGCAAACAGGTACTATTGCACTCATCTCAGCTTCCTTTGCAATTTCACCTGGGGATCATTACTCACTTCCGCTTAACTACTACCCTGTAGATCTTCGGGCACCCAGAATTTGCCTCGTTGCACTTCACTGGATCCACTGCTGTCTTCCGCAAGTTGTGGTCTGACATTGCTCAAGGTGTCTCGACAGCCACTTTAAAATCGTACCCTCGAGTAGTGGGTGAAACGGGCGGGAAGAACTTCCATCTCATCCATTCCTCGGCCCCCGTTCGTCCTACCGTCCTCCAATCGATCCGTGCCGCCTTCGAATACAGCGGCCAGAAGTGTAGCGCTCTGTCTCGCTTGTATGTCCCCGAAAGCATCTGGCCCGAGTTCTCCAAAGTTCTCAAAGAGGAGGTCGCCAAACTTAAAGTCGGGAGCCCCGAAGAGTGGAGCACCTTCTTGGGACCCGTTATTTCCCAAGGCTCTTTTGATAAGATCACCGGCTTGATTCAAAGTGCCAAAGATGCAGGCGATGAAGTAATCATCGGTGGCAAAGGTATTCAATTTTTTTTTATCTTGGCTCCGATTATCGGTTTGACTTGTTTGCTAATCCATCTTGAATAGCCGATGCGTCGAAGGGATACTTCATTGACCCTACGGTCATCTTGACCCGAAACCCTCGCTCGATCACGATGACTGAGGAACTATTCGGTCCCGTGATCACCACATACGTGTACCCCGATGCCGAGTTTGAGCAGACGTGTGATCTGATAGACTCGAGCTCAGCTTACGCCCTGACTGGTTCTATGTGAGTCGCCCGAAACATAACCCCGTCTTGACAGTCTCTTGAACAGCGCTGAGTCTGTCTGCTCCCTATGCATGTGACGCCACCTTTACAGTTTTGCGGCCGACCGACATGCAGTCGTGTTGGCTTCGAACAAACTGAGACGCGCCGCTGGTAACTTCTACATCAACTCCAAATGCACCGGAGCCGTCGTTGGCCAACGTGAGCATCCCAAAGTTTACCCCATTCTCCTCTACCCACACATCGATCGATGACTGATCATCCGTGCCCTTCAACCCCAGAACCATTCGGGGGATCCAGGGCGAGTGGCACTAACGATAAAGCCGGAAGTATTAACTTGCTCTACCGATTCGTCAATGCCAGAAGCATCAAGGAAGAATTCTTGCCGTAAGTTTCGATGGATGCTCGTCGTCTGAATGGATTCACTCAAAGAAGAATATGGATAGCCAACTAACATCCCCCATCTCCCGTCGTAGCATCGAGGAGGCCCACTATCCCTCCAACTTGGCTTGAACCCTGCAAGCCTCAGCCGTCTCCTGTCAACTGACTTGATACCCTTCCACTCCCGCAAGGATTATTACAATCCTATATCGGATTCACTTTGTTTCATACATACATCATCTGGAAATTCATATGTGTATCAGACCATCTATGTAGTTTCCCTCTGAAATACAAAAATCCCGTCAAAAATCCCGTCTGCGTAGATTTTCTGGATCTTTGCTCTCACCATTCCTCTCTCTCTCTTTCTCTAATCCAACACGCTATCTCGCAACGTTGACCTCCCATTACTGTCGTAACCAAGAAGATCACGCGCCTCCATTCCAATGCTTGCTCATCTAAATCGTACCGCCTGTCTGATCCAACGTTCACTCTTGATATGACATGCTTCCGTCTTGATGCGTGGAATATGGTCCATAACGCACAGCGATTTCCTGCTGATGGGCTTGGATGGTGATGCCCGCGGATTGGTTAGATGAGCATGCGACCTAGGACATGCATGTCGAGTTGGGCGTGGATCCTCAAGAGACAAGCACGCCCAAAAAGATAAGGGCGTGCTTGAAGCCGCACGCGAGAACAAAACAAACGGCCTGTTGGGTTCGATTTGAGGCCAATCGGAGGTACTGAATCGGCGTGCTCGAGAATCCACGCCCATATCGACATGCGTGTCTTGGGTCGATACAGAAAATTGGCGTGCATCACCATCCACACCAATTTTTTTAGTCTGGCACTGGTGGATCCTGCGCGCCGATCGACAAGAGGTGGGGAATAGTACAATACTGCAAACAAGAAAGATTACAAGATACATATAGATGATTTGTTGAACATATCCTGATAAGAAATTTCATGACCACTATTTGAATTTTATAGAAGATGAAGACATCCTAATCGAGCAATTAAATTAATTAACGGTGAGAATTAAACAGTAAGGTATTGACACGTGAGGCGGTGTGCAAGATCGGGCGAGCCGGAGGTGGAGTAGATCAAGACGAGATTATAAGCTGCCAGATTGGATAAATCTGTTGGGGGCTCGGAGGATGATTGTGGGTCTTGCGATGATGGCGATGATTGATGGAGCAATGGAGCAAGCGCGAGAACGCGGTTGTAGTGAGTGATCGCGAGCGACGATAGCCCTACACAAACACCGAGACAAACCGTTCAATCATTCAGTGACCCTTCTAGCTTGGAACAACCAGAGAGCCCAGGATTGGGAAAGTGGAACTTACCAAGGCCATGATAAATCCGCCCAAGGTTGAACTCAACCTCCTGCCCAAACTCTTTATGTCGCACCGCCCGATAATGTTCAAAAAAGGCCAACCCCTGTAACATCAGTCAAGAGTCCGTCAACAAACTACTCGGAAGCCCGATCATCATTCTTACACCGAAAGCTCAACCAGCCAAAAGGAAACCTTACTTGGACAATTTGATGGTGTCGATTGTCCGTCTGGCGTTGCATGGCTCTTTGGACATAGGTTATCGCCAATAATAAATTGATCAGAGGTTCATCTGGGTATGATTCTCTTATCCGCAAGTAGTATACTGGGTAATGGAAAGATATGGGGGCAAAGAGGATGAATACCCTAGCAGGAAGACTTTCAAATCGAGGGAGCGGGACTGACCGATAGCAGATTTGAAGCTCCGAGTTCCAGCCAAGATTTGGGCAAAGGTGATGAGGAATACCGGACTTAATTTGGTGGGCTTAAACTTCGAAGGTTTCCAATACGAGTCGTTTTCCTCTTCGCCTTCGTCGTCTTTCATCATCTGTTTTTTCATCATCGCTTCATTTGGATGAGCGCGTTCCTGGCGAGTAAGTTGACTAGCTTGCACGGCGGTCGATTCGGCGTCTTGATCCATCACATCGTCCCCGTCATCATCATCATTCAGGTTGCGATATCCTGGGCGCGAATGCGGCTTGCCAATGTAGCCATCAATGATTTGGATCTGCCTCAACAACCATTTCTGGGTGTTTGTATTAAAAAAGGCAACCGATTGCTCGAATCCTCGACTTAACAAGGCGTTGATAAGCCGGACCAGATCATTATGGTACGGCATTCTTGCGCTGAGCCAACGTATGGTGTCCACGGTCTCGATAAAGTCGCCCTTTGCGAGACAGCTAGCTGTTTTGTCCACCACAAATAAGCATACCAATTCAGTGAGCGGCATCCTTGCTTTTTTTTCTTCTTCAACTAAGCTGATACAAGAAGGATCATAGTTTACCAGCATAGGCTAATCGAAGCACCTGCTGCATTGGTGCTGATTGTCTGAATGTGGGAGCTCTCATCACGTGTCCTAACACTTCACACGCCTCATCTACCTGGTCCATCTTAGCACAAGAGAATGCATACTGTGCCAAAAAAAAGACAACAGTCAATTCAGGGAATTCAAATACATTCTTGATGACGCCATTCCGGCTTCAGCCGTCTCTCCTATGAGCTGATCACGAGGCAGCGAAACAGAGGACAGCTTACATAGACAAATATTCGCACCCAATTCGCAAAGCGGATTCCACGAAATTCCTGCGCCGTCTCGGGATGAACTAATCAACAAGAACAAAATGTAGAAGTTAAAGTATGGATGAGTATGAGGCGGTATCTACGAGCCAACGGAAATTCTTCTTCAAGTATTTAAACTTGAACAATGAAAAAAGGCCATTCTAAAGAGGAAGCATGAGAGACAGACCTGTCTCTTCGGGATTTGCTGATGACTTGGCCGTAGTTTCGTCACGCTTGCCAGATCGTGGGGCAGTCGTATTCAGTCCGCCAAACTTGGCGCTCTACATAATGAAAGCAAAGAGTTGATGTGGGTTGAGTATGGATGATCGAGTACAGATATAACCCCAGAGTTAAAAACTGGTGGGAATATTTTTGCTGAATCGACGTAAGTAGACCTACCAAGACGCATGGGAATAAGGCCGGTGTTTCTCTAAAGCCTTCTACTAGAGGGGTGGCCAGTCGGACGTATTCGGTCATCAAAGACAACCCATCGGACGCGGGGTCGGTTGCTAGCTTGGAGCTTATGGTTTCCAGTTTATCATAAGTCTTGACATATTTCTGAGTCAAAAGCTCTTCGTCAATTCTCCTCTCAGCCAAGGATCGGCTTGCGGCCGTCCGTGAAGCCAACGTGTTGGCCCGGCTTGGATTTCCATTCGTGGAAGTTAGCTCATTCTCGATCGAGACCCCAGTTTCTCTGGCCTTTCTTCGAAGTTCAATCACTGATGATAAATATGGATCTCAATTGATGTGAGATGAATCATGTCAAGTAACAGGAGAGAAATGAAGACAAGGATGTCTCAGCTTACGGTCATTAACCATGTCTAAGGCTTTTTGGCGGAAGCCAAGTTGCTCATAGAGCTCTGCAAGCTGAGTCTTTGCTAATAAATCTAATGAATCTGTCTCGGCGACTGATTAGAAGTAACAGTCATAGGAAAGGTGAAAGCGATGAGCGATCTGCTTATTGTTATGAGAGGGTGGTGAAAAACTAACCGGCTTCGAAGCACTCCAGCGCTCCCTCTAAATTACCCAAGTGGCGGTAACACCGTCCGATTTTATGCCAGAGCTTTGCGTTGTTGGTCTAAAAAAACCCAATAAAATTTTGCAGTCGGGTTTAGTGACTGGGTAGATTGAAAAGAATTGAGGTCTACCCACCGAATCATTTTCCGCTAGCTCATGATAAAAATCCAAAGCTTCGTCCCATTGAGCGCATTCACAATACGCATCACCAATACTCATACATAGCTCAGCGTTTTCTTCAATGCCAAGACTTTTGATCATATCGAAGTGAAGCTATCGTGAATTTATCCCTCAAGAAAGAAGTCAGCGATGCTACTCACTGTCCGAAACACGGGTAATGACTCACCGCAGCCTCATCTTCATCTCCAATGTACAACCGACAAATGCCCAGGTAAGTTCGGAGCTCATTTGTCAATGGATAAGTAGGTGATTCTTCATAACGAGGATCAGGTAAGTATTCCCATGCCTCCCTATTCTTCCGCAGGGGGTCGTACTCGCGGTCATCCTCGAGCAAGTCCCAATCCAAAAAATCTGGCCTAGTGGGGTCTAATCGGCCCTGCAGCCAACGTGTGGCCTGTTTGATGAGCTTGAGTGTATCGTAATAATGCTGATGAAGCTGTTCTTGATCTTCAGGGCCAGAGTTGTCCGTTGGTTGTGCAGTACGAACAGACGAAGATCTGGACTCGATCATTAGTCGGACTAAGATTTGGATATGCTCGAGCCCAAATCCATCGGTGAGCCACTCTGCTGGTGGGGTGATGATCATCGACTGGTAGTGCTTCAGTGCATCTTGAAAAAGTCTGATCGGCAGCTCCTTTTCGTCGGTCGTAGCACACAAGTGGGCCACCTCACGTAAAACGTCCGGATTGTGGGGACTGATTTTCAAAATCGCAAGGTAGCCGGCTAATGCCTGACGAGTCGCTCCATATGAGGTCTAGTCGAATCATGAACTGCATAGAGATGCTTAGCCATTACTTACTTGACGGGACCTTCCTACTTCAAAGAGTAGGTAAGATCTATCCCACATGGATTCCACGTCGTTCTTGGTCCCCTTGATAGCCTCGCTGTAGCAGTAAATGGCTTGAGAAAGCAAACCGTGCTGTCTAATCAAGTTGAGGATCAGAATGTATTTCAAATCAGACATGAGTAAATCAGGAGGATTGCGTACCTAGATTCAGAGGCCAGTTCTTTCCATATGTCGGCAGACTTCGGAGTCAGATGAGCGCCGATTATCCGAAACTGGGAAGACCTTTCAAAGTCACCCATGTCTTGGTAGATCGCACCCAAGTTATTCCAAGCCATCCTACACATCGGTTCAATCCTCACAATCTCTTCAAACACGGGTATCGCTTCATCGTATTTTTTCTCGATGAAGGCCAAGTTTGCTTTTCCAAGGAGGACTGATACTTCGACTGACAGCTCCGGTTCCCCTCTCAACTTGAATCTTTTCTGAATAAATTAACAAAAAAAAAAGTATGGTTCAACATTCAGCTTGTAAGAGAATCATGAATCTCAGGAATAGTTCGACTTACTCTTTTACCAGGTCTCATTGCTTCTTCGGCCTCTTTCAATTCATTCAGTTCTTGATCCATACTCCGGTCCCACTCCTTCCCCAAGATACCATGACTGCTATTTCCCTGGTTGCCCTCCTGACCATGGATCGCACCTATTAATCGACGGAGATCACCCTGATAACGTAGAAATACAACAACAAAACCCCGAATGAGATTCAGATATACAGACTGGATCTGCATGCGCCGAGACATACTTACTGGATCTGATTCTTGATCTGAATCTTCATCCTCTCCCCCTGATTCGTCGTCGTCTTGTCCGTCCTCACCATCGTCTCCGCTACTACCAGCAAGCTCACGAATACTTCGCTTGTTGGTGGCGGTCCCAATTTTTTTTGACCTGAAACTACCCTTGAAGCCCAGCTGTTCTTCTTCCCCAGAAAATTCTTCCTCGGTCTCATAGTCAAGGTCGTTCTGGTCGATATCGTCCCAGATTAGTTCTTCGCTCGGGTAGAAATTCTCGTCTGGACCCGGGAACGAGTTCGCCTCTCCGACGATGTCCGGATTGAATAGATCTGGATCGAGAGGTACGTAGTCATTGCTGGTTGATGGAATCGACATCTTCTGTTGATCGACTGGCGTTCGGTCTCGAAATGTCGAGTGAGTTGTTTCAATTTCAATAATTCGGGAGCTGGGTTGGTGTGTGGTGGGTGCATACATGTATGGGGTTACAGGTCACATGCATATGTACCAATGCAATACGGAAACAAGTATGGGTTACTGGAGGGGCGAAAGGACACCACAACACTGCACTGGAGAGTGGAGAGTGCGGAAGGCCCACCGCCACACCATAGATACGCTCACCCAGAAACAGTCCAGAGATGGCACGACCGGAAGACACGGAATCAGAAGAAGACCCGGATGGCGACTGGGAACCCGGGACAACAGGAAGAACGGGAAGAGCGAAAGGAGCTCAGGCAGATCGGACCAAGGAAGCCGGCGCACAGAAGAAGCACAAGAAGAAAGCGACTGCCTATGCGAGTAAAGATGGAGAGGGATACTCCTGGGAAGAGGAATATAAACGCAGTTGGGACGTTCTGAGGGAAGACGAATCTGGAAGTTTGGAAAGTGCGGTCAACCAACTGATTGCAAACAAACGCCGAAGGTAAGCAGAAGATAGCTTGAGCTCAATAGCCATCATGATATCGATAGCTAATCAAGTTCTTTTTTTTTTTTTTTGGAAAAGAGTCATACGTGATACCACTTCGATCCAGCGAGGGATCATAAGACATCTCTGCTTGATAATCGATGTTTCGCTCGCCATGACCGATCGCGACCTTCGTCCCAATCGACTGGATATGTCGCTTACTTATGCTAAGGTATTCCTATTCAAGAAATTCATTCATTTCAACTTTTTGGTGAAAACCTTGTCAAGCAAAATTCCAAATGATGGCTGAATTGTTTGCCCTTGCTCTCCCTTCTACAGGAATTCGTCACGGAGTTCTTCGATCAGAATCCGATCAGTCAATTATGTATTCTTATCACGAAAGATGCGATTGCCGAGAGGTTGAGTGGCTTGTCAGGTTAATCTTCAACTTATTAGGCGATCTGTCTGTTTCTTGTCTTGCCATCGCGGAGATTCTTGACAGGCCTTCTGATAAGCCTCGTTCTGATATTCACATCTGTTTTTTGGGAGTCTGCAGGAAATCCGTTGGACCATCATAAGGCACTTAGCAATAAAGCTAAATTGACTCCTTCTGGGGAACCATCATTACAAAATTCATTGGAGATGGCGCGAGCTAGTTTGTCGTCAGTTTTCCGGTTTTCCCTTTTCCCACTAGTATTCAACATCAAGAAAAAATTACTTTACTGCAATTTTTACCACGTTTTGTTTCCTAACTGCCATCATTCTCATATTTTAACGCTATTAATTTAGACATCTACCATCACATGGCTCAAGGGAAGTTCTTGTGATCTTTGGCTCACTCACTACATGCGATCCAGATGATATCAATAAGACTCTTGAAAACTTAGAGAAAGATCGGTAAGCCTTCTTCTTTCATCGTGTGACTCTACTTTCCTGACAAAAAGGCTCCGATCATGTTCTCTTTACATTCCATCTAAGTAATTTGGTGAGATCTTTGTCATCATGAAGGAAACACTGACTGCTTCGATTGAATTACCTGCTTCTGCTTGCGCGCTACTTCTAGGATGAGAGTTTCAATGGTTGGCTTGGCTGCAGAGGTAAGAATTTGTAAAGAGATATGTAAACGGACACAAGGTAAGTTTCAACAAATTCTAGCTATAGTTGACATTTGCTTCTATCACCTTGTCAGAAATTCATATGTGTTTGTTGAGTGTAGGTCAATACGGGGTAATATTGAATGAACATCATTTCAAAGAGCTCTTGTTTGAGGCAATTTCACCACCACCGATCGCCAAATCGACGACGAACGGGCCGAAAACTCAAAGTTCGAGTCTGATCCAGATGGGCTTCCCAAATAAGATAACTCATGATGCCCACCAAGTCGATGCGTCGACCCATTCGTTCTGTGCCTGTCATTCGAAACTGCAGTCGACCGGCTTCATTTGCCCTCGTTGTGGGTCCAAGAACTGCGAGATACCTACCAATTGCTCGGTCTGTGGTTTGACTATTGTCAGCTCCCCTCATCTGGCTAGGAGTTATCGTCATTTATTTCCCGTCAGTAATTGGATCGAAAAGAATGCCAATTCGTTAGTTGCACTGTTTACCTTGCTTTCTCTCTTTCTCTCTTACTTTGTTTCTAGTCCCCGTGAGAATCAAACTGATAAATTGCATATATTCACCAAAAAAATGACATTGCTGCTTAGCCTCTCGCATCAAACTTTTAAATGTTTTGGTTGCGACAAAGAATTACAAGTGAACAAAGCATCCCAAACAAACGATGAGAGTAATGGTAATTCGAACAATGCCACTAATGCTAATAACCCTTCGATCAATTTATATCATTGTCCCCGTTGTAAAAATATGTTTTGTTACGAGTGTGACATTTATCATGAACAGCTTGGCTTATGTCCTGGTTGTTGTTGACGTCGAATTTCTTAAATCACTCACGTAACACTCTGTAGATGGGGCTATAGTAAAAACACAGAAAGTTGATGGTTTGTGGGGCTTTCCAAATTCCATGCCACCTAGAAATTCACAGACGTCAAGAGAAGGCTTCGAATTAAAAATTTCAGCAATCAGATACACTTTCCATCAGTATTCTTTTCTTGGTCTCGAATTCTTTGCAAGAGATGCAAACCATAGTAGAATTTTTGCAGAAATTTTGGTGCTGTGACCAAATCCAATGCTTTCATTGGCCTGTTCCAGTGTTTCTTTCACAAAATCACCCCATGTCTAACCTGCAACATCATTACTGAGTCGCCAATCCTGACTTCTGGGAATTCAATTTTGGTAAAATTTTCAACTGAGAAATCATATCAAAAAAAATTATTTCAGGCGATATGGGCCTCTAATACGCTTGGAATATCAATAATGACTGAGGTGGCATATGTGAATTTTGGAGGTGCCGGATATTGCCCAAATGCATTTGGCACAGAAAAGTGCCAAATACCTGAAGGACGAAGACGAAAACTGAGACAACCTTGAACCCCAATGCGCTCTTTGTCACTCGAGTCTCGTGGTTTTATCAAGAACTCGACTCAACTGGATTTGAATTGACCTCGTCACCTTCGTTCCCAGATCGGGTGTCCTCACATTGATGATTCACCGATCATTTGAGGGTCTCTATCCTTGGTACCATGCATTTTGGTCGAGAATTGACGCAATCCTAGATTGGGGATTTGCCTTTGAGCGTTAAAAATGTCTGGACCTGGTTTCTGAAGATGTTTGAAGACCCTCACATAAACATATCATCTACATACATATATGTAATGTCGCCTTTCTGAAGATATGATCAGGCAATCACATCTTGCCAACGGTTTCCGCGTGCACAAATCTGGTCTGACTCTGAGGCTTTAATTGTTCCCGCGACGCGATGGACTCCGTACCTCTAGTCTACTGTCGCAAACGTAGTCGATAACGGGCTTCCCATGCATTACGGAAGCCTAAATATTCCTCCCGGAGAAACAGCTCAGGAGGCACAATTTCTTCCTGGCAATCAAATGGACTGCTCAGTTTGTCCGGGTGACATAGAAGCCGTTGTTGACCCATTCATCGGGTTGGAATCGACTACTCAGCCGTAGACTGTAGGGCATTGCTTGGCCGTACGACAGTCGAAGGTTGATGGATTTGGTATCTTCACAATCTGGAGGCGTTTTGTGCTCGCTGGCTGGTTCGACGCGGAATTTATCGACGGGAGATGGTTTCAGCCACTTCACGCACAGCTTCTGTCCTCGTCTTGGCGCTCTTACAGCATGGGGATCACAAAGTAACGAACATTGACAATTACATCGAGCCTTATAAATGGAGCTGGCTAGCCCCATCTCTCCCTCATCCAACCACACCTCCTTGTAAATCCAATCTTTCCAGTGCCAGTTGGCTCACCTTGACTCAAACCGAAAATCCAACAACTCTTCCCAGCGTATTTTGGCCTTTTTTTTACTAGTAGCTACTTTAAATTTCCTCTCATCTGTTTAAAGACGATCAATTTCTTGCTTTAGCTCTCACGATGTTAATATCATTAAAATCGATAATAGTTGTCACGCTTGCAGCGTTTGATTTAGCAGCTGCCACATTAGAGGAAGACAAGAAGAAGCAGTGCACATTTACTTGCCCCAGTGACGCTAGCAGAACGGAAGCAGGTTGCGCGAAAAAAACAGAGTACTACGGCGGTAACGCGGTGAAATGGGAAAGTGAGTGCACATTTTTTTTCTTCGTTTTGATTTGATCACACAGAGACGAAGCGGAAGTTGACAACTCTTCTATGCATCCTGTTTGTTCAAATCAACAGTGGTAATAGCAAACCCAACAGAAAATCACAAAGACTTTTATAATTGCCTAGGCACCGGAATGGCTTTTAGCACTTGCTGTGTTCCAGGCACCATAATCACATCCAAAGGCAAGGTCAGTATTACAACTCCCGTTGATTATGAACCTCCACACTCATCTAGACTATAATAACATGGCTACAAAATTTACACTAAATTCATCCAAAATCTCTTGACACTTGTCCTCTCCCATGATAGCCGATGATTTTTGACAGCGGAAATGACCCTCGCAAGTACGCAAGAAGTTGCTCAGACACCAGGCCTGAGCATATGCATATTGAGGAGTTTCCAAAGGATTGCAAGCCCCCAAAGTAGCATTAAAAATTTCCAAAACGTAAAAGAACTCATGATGAGAGCAAGCCTTAGTCGCTTTCAGCAGTTGGAGAATTAGTTTACTACCTTTTGGCCTTTGAAAGCTCTATTTCTACTTCTTGCGCTCCTCTCACTCCCCCCCCCCCCCAATTTGAATCAAATCACGTAGAATTAGTAGAGGCTCTCTTGTTGACGTCATGTATCACTTTTCCTTCTGCACTTTCCCTTAAATCATGTTTCCAAACCACTCCATTTGATTCCAAAAATTGTGATCAATCTGTTTTATATAGGCCACAAGATGGATTTTCTTTCCGTTTAAAGTCGATAGCTAGCTATAATCTTGTTGCCGAAGGACAATACCATGAAGATATCACATGTTCCAAAAAGATTTCCATCCCTCCTGAGTCCTTGAGATGGAAGTTACAAATTCAACATCGGTGAGCATTGCTGTTGCACATTCATAGTTTGGCAGTCAAGTTTGGCTGGGTGAGGAAAATCAAGTCTTTGAAAGCACACTTTTCCAAAACTGATGTCAAATTATTTACAAAAATTGAACTGATGAAAACATTCAACCTGGCTCTGATCTTACCCACCTACAAATGCAACTTCTCAATATTTCTATAGAGATTCTGTAATTGTTTTAGTGTATTTTTGAGACCTAACACTAAGTCTTCATCTACTTTAGTATCTTCTTTAGTATAAGCAAAGTCAATCAGCCTGACATCTGAAATTTTTGGTGACATCTGAGAAGTCGATTGAATCACTTTATCTAATCTTCGGGCATCTCCTTCAAAAATGATCAACACACTTGTGGCGGGGCTACTCCATTTGAATTCGGAAACGTGGTGCAATAATTTTTCAAATTGAGGAATCAAAGAGTTCAGTATCACTTGCATCATTCTTGGGGATAAGCCACCTGCATAGTAACTCAAGGTACTTCCAGCGAAGCTTTTACCCTCAGCGTCGGATATTGGAAACAGTGCATTGAATTTTTCTTCTAGATCACGCCCCGAAGCATCGACGGTATGACCATACCTCTTATGTATTTTAACGTATCCCTGTCTCTTGTTGTCCCAAATCTGTTGAAATCACAATCGGGGAATTGAGAAATTCCAGAGCTGTTAGAACTAATGTTAAATGCAGAGAGGATTAGATTTGCGAGGAAAAGACTTACCGCAGCACCAGTGAGGCGCATAGCCAAGGTCCCCGATGTAGTTATGCTCGAGACGACGTCTTTACGCTCTTTCTTGTCTGCAACTTCCATTCCTGAGGCCAAATTTTTTCCCAGCTTCACATCTACAGCATTAGGATGCCAGAAAAATTTGGAATCTGGATTATATTCTGTGCTAGAAGTAGACGCCGCTATGTTTTCAAGAATGATGGAGGCGAGCTCTTTTTTATTCTTTTTACATCGACAGAGCATGTTTTTTTGTCAAAAATAATCATTCAGAGTGCCCAAGGGATGGTAATACATGAGGTGGGAAAGAATTCTTACCTTTTCTCCAGCAAGTGCCTCCCAGCCATGATAGTGAGCTCTCCAACCATCCCAATGTGTGTCCAAGGCATTGTCGAGTTTGGGTGCCAGTTTTTCATAAAAGATGACCTCGAGTTTGTAGGTGTCTTTGATAATTTTCGTGGGATCATTGTTATACAGCTTCAAACCATTTTCATGACCGCCCGCTTGTGGTAATGAAATTACTGCATTACTATTAACCAGAGAATCATCCCGGTAAGCACTACAATGTTTGATCTTGACGCCTTCTGGACTTAATATGGCCGGCTTGTGGGCGAAGTCAGAGGATACGGGAGACTGGGGATCCCATATATTCCTCTGGACACGCGAGGGATTCTGGTCAGCACCGTTCCTGCAAGGTTGGACGTCGACACCTTGCTGAACAAATCTGGCCGACTTGCCAAAATCTAAGAGGACTGGTGCACTAGAGTAATGAAGACCATGGAGATCTTGAGCGCAACCTGTCAAATGAAAAGATTGTGGCTGCTCAAGGGTGAAGCGAGGCATTTTCTGAGGTGTCTTATCTCCCTCTTCGCTCTCCAAGCGGTCAAACCTGCGGATTTTATAACCCACTTCACCGGCCGAGCTGATTCGTATCACTTCCTACGGGTTGAATTGTTTATCGCTTTCCCTCACCGCTAGATTCTTCAACACCTTCTGTATTCAAACTCCGCCTAAGTTTCATCGGAAAAATTGAAAAGTTCACAGAAGCGCTCAAGTGTTTGCGTGAGTGCTGCCATGACACGTTTATTCCAATCAGCAATTTGATGGTGACGTAGAGAGCTTGACCGGTGCGTGAGTTTATTGCAATTCCTTCCTGGTCTCAGGAGTGCAAGGGTCTAAACTCCACGGGGGACGGCCTTGGTACACCCAACGAGAAAGAAGGATTTGCGCGAAGATGCTTTGCCGGCAATGCTGCGTCGCTCGACTAACTTCACACTGTCACCCACACATCAGAAACTCTTCCTTCACCATCCCCTCAGTCGCGCAAACTCACAAGCCATCTAGAAATGGCAACCATGTCACGTGATCCTGGTACATTGATAAACTGCGATAGACGATTGTACATGCACAGAGACGTCATCCGGCCTGGGAGGTCATCGCGAAGCTATGATTGGGATACAACTTATCACGATTAAGAAGCACCAACTGACTGCACAGACCCATACACACTTGGGCATCTTGAGTCAAATTGTCAACGAACAATCAAATCTCGCCTGAACTAGACTACGACACCAGACTTGACTGAAAAGTGGAGAGACAAGCTGGCTCTATCACTTGATTCTGGCACGTGAGACAACTATATTTTTTGAGTGCGGGTGAGCCGTGGCCGAGTGCAAAGGTGGGCTAGGCCATCAGCGGCTGTCTTGACTCATTGAGGCATAGAAAATTTGGACACCCGGCACTGCAGCTTCTCAAGCCGGGCACGGTGAAGCCAACTTTTCGATCGGGTAGTTTGTATCAAGGCCCTCCTGAGTCCTACTCAATCAACGTAGGCTCTGAAAAAAGGCCAGAAATCTTATCAAATCTGTGAGGGAATTTTGGTGCTCCCCACTCAAACCTCTATTGAGAGCATCTGCATCGGTTGAGCTAAAACCGAGCAAGTTTTGACTCATAGCTATAGTTAAACTACAATAGCGACCACCTGTCAGCCACATCGGTGTGGCTTGAGACGGTGTAGCTTGAAGTTGAAGTGTGTATTTTCGCGTGAGGGTGCCGAATTGAAGTGTTGGCACGGGTTAGCTTTTAGCTAGCTCGAAAGCTAACCATTGCTACATGTAGCAAGGGTTAGCTGAAAATCTAGCTGATAGCCAGGTTAGCTTGATGTTAGCTTAACCCGGTGTGGTTGACATTGGTGGCTAAAGTCCTTAGCTCAAGCGGAAATAGCCAACCGACTCAAACCTCTATTGAGAGCATCTGCATCGGTTGAGCTAAAACCGAGCAAGTTTTGACTCATAGCTATAGTTAAACTACAATAGCGACCACCTGTCAGCCACATCGGTGTGGCTTGAGACGGTGTAGCTTGAAGTTGAAGTGTGTATTTTCGCGTGAGGGTGCCGAATTGAAGTGTTGGCACGGGTTAGCTTTTAGCTAGCTCGAAAGCTAACCATTGCTACATGTAGCAAGGGTTAGCTGAAAATCTAGCTGATAGCCAGGTTAGCTTGATGTTAGCTTAACCCGGTGTGGTTGACATTGGTGGCTAAAGTCCTTAGCTCAAGCGGAAATAGCCAACCGATGCAGATGCTCTGAGGGGCCCATGTACAAGCACTGCAAAAACAACTGCTCGGATCAGTAAGTCCGCGCAGTCCCCCCCGTGCCCCGCCACTTCTGGCCCCGCTTGGTTCGCACTGCGGAATAGTAGTGATACTTTGTTATAAACCTGAGAGGAGTTAAGAATCTATCAGGTTGTCATCAGGTGGAATCAGAGGCAAAGACGACTGACTACAATAGATTAGTAGCGCAGTATGTCGGCGCGAGTTTAGGTAAAGAATTGCATCAGAATATGAGGGGAAAAAATAGTGAAAAAAGAGAAAAGAAAGAGAGAGAAAAAAGATAGAAAAAAAAAGAGAGAGAAAAAAGAGAGAAAAAAGAGAGAGAAAAAAGAGAGAGAAAAAAGAGAGAGAAAAAAGAGAGAGAAAAAAGAGAGAGAAAAAAGAGAGAGAAAAAAGAGAGAGAAAAAAGAGAGAGAAAAAAGAGAGAGAAAAAAGAGAGAGAAAAAAGAGAGAGAAAAAAGAGAGAGAAAAAAGAGAGAGAAAAAAGAGAGAGAAAAAAGAGAGAGAAAAAAGAGAGAGAAAAAAGAGAGAGAAAAAAGAGAGAGAAAAAAGAGAGAGAAAAAAGAGAGAGAAAAAAGAGAGAGAAAAAAGAGAGAGAAAAAAGAGAGAGGGAAAAGAGAGGGAAAAAAAGATAAAAAAATCTGAGCACTAGTGTGCTTATGACATTGCTAAAATCATCAAAAAAAAATCCAATGACGTCATTCCTTTCTCATCTTGCCACCAAGAATCTTTAACAATCCATACACATCTTGAGCACTGCTTGCTCAACTCCTTTCTACTTGGAAACTCCATATTATTTCATCACCTCTCTCAACGGTGCAACAGATATGAGACATGTATTTGTATTGTATTGTATTGTCTTTATTTTGAGCCTGATACCGGTATCATTATTTTCTTGGTTGGTGAAAAAAAAATTATTGTCTTGGATTTGGATTTACAAATGAAAAGAATTGTCTTTGTTTTTTTTTTCTTTTTTCTTCAATACGGCCAGATATATTGTGTATCAAATACGGTTTTGGTGGGATCAGTCATCTGAGACCATACAGAATACTTGTCAGCTATGTGTATGAAACTTTGGCTTAATAATATAAAAGCCAAGTACTATCACTGTGCTGAAGGACTCAGGTTAAAGACCAAGATTACTCCTAGTCACCCTCAAAGTATTAAGTGGTCCAAACTTCCCACTTAAGAGGTTAAAAAGTCCACACTCCTCAGTTAATGAAACTTGAATAATCAAGAGAGCACTGTAGGAGACAATAACAGAATATGTTATTGTAGAGTGTTTGGAAGCAATAATTAATATTGCAAGAAGTAGCTGGCAGGCACCTGAGCTGTGGGGGTCTTGCAGCAACTACTTTTTAAGGAATTAGTTAAGTTTTGAGTCTGGGATAACTCTCAGCTTAATAATAATTCCAGTAAGAAGGTAGGATTGGATTGGATATAAAAAGACTACTACAAAAGTAGGTGGAGAATATTCACTGTACTCACTTAGTTTGTTGGGGGTGAATATGCTGAGGAACCAATCCTAGGCAGGAGAAGGCCTCCTTAAATATTCTAGAGGTCCCCTTGAGGCCCTCCTTAGAATATTATGGAATCTCTCTTTTAGTGTACCATGGTAGAATTATTCCCCTGATGTAATGGGAATAATTCAAGGTATTTAAAATAATGTATATTCTATGTCCCATGACATTGTGATTCATATTTATAGCCAATTACATCATGTGTCTCCTTAAGTAGAATATTACTAGTAGAAAGTGCCACACTCTTGACATAGTGTGGTAATTTCCTTTCTACAAGTTTTAATAAATTGATTATGCTTGTAGAATAAAATTTCCAAGGTTACCCTAAATGTATATTTAACCCTAATTTAATATACATTGATTTTATTCTATAAATTTATATATTTTATTCCTTTTGTCCTTCAAGAGTTTGAATATATACAAAGTCCTTGAAGGAGTGGGAATTTGGGGATACTTCCAGTGGACAACCCCCTTTATAATCTTATGAAATATTGTTTTATTAAATAATATTATTACATATTATATTACATATTGAGTATTTTAATACTTAATATTCATTTAGCAGTCTTTTGGATACTATGGAGTATCTCTAAGGCTGACAATACTTGTCTCACTTTTCAAAGACGATACATGGGTATTGTCTCAGGAAAGTGAGACAACACAAATCCAGTATTTTTGGGTATTCAAATTCTGAGACAGTACAAATAAATGCCTGATACCGTCTCGTATTGTCTCTGTTGCACCGTTGCCTCTCTTTCCCTTGTGGAACTTTGAGCTGGTCACAAATTCAGGGCCTTGAATCTTATCATCTTATTGTAACTCTCATCACAGTTTTGACATCTAGTTCCTCTACTTGACAAAGCTTAACCCCAGTGTCAATTATCATTTATCTATTCTTATTGGTCCCCTTTACCTCTTCTGAAAATGTTTCTCATGAAATCATATCTCAGCACTTCCCTTCCTATTGACATTTTTGCCAACAGACCTTGTTCTTCCCTTCGAGTCAACTAACCACCAAACATCAACAAAGCACATCATGTTTTTCATTATTTTAGGTTCTAACTAACTCAATTCACCTGCTGCTGATCATCAGAAAATTAACCGCACCATTTATTTTAGACTCTTTTCTTTTGGGCTCCAATTAATTTGGTTTTTCTTCCCTTCTCCTGTCATTTGCCTTGAGTTTAGATTCTTTCTTTTTCTTTCACTGGCTTTGTATTTCTTATTCATGATATAAGAAAAAAACATTTAGCTCGATCATTCACAAGGAGGAGGAAAGGAATCCTCTAATTCTTCTGCTGATCTATGATAACTATCTGCAAATATGTTGAAATGAGACTGACAGGGATGAAATCAGGTAAATACATTGCATACCACTGATTTCAACTATTTAAAATTGGACTGACTGATTTGTTGGAAAGTGGTAAGCTTTCCAACAACTTCCCTTTAGATTACAAGATCCCATGATCAAAATCAATTGTGAATTACTCTTTCACCTTTGGGGACCCATTGGTGAAGAAAAATATTTTTGGATAATTGACTGGTTTGTAATGGCGGATTTCTTATATCTGATACCCTCCGTTATGCAGGGGCTTGGTTGATTGACTCCCATGAATTGGAGTTCTGACTCCCATTTGTGGGAGGTGTCAACCAGACCCCAAAACACCATTCCCCATCAGTTGCAAGCACCCAATTTTGGGTGCTGAAAAATTTGGGGCCAAGCAGGATTCCTCTTTTTCACAGCCATAGAAACTGTACATTCCATGGCATTTCATGTCCAAGTTAGTTTTAAAAGTACAGTTGCATGCAGTATTCTGCTTTACACAACTCTAGGGGGGGGAGGGAGTCTAAATGGTTGAGGCAAAAAAGTAGATTGTGTCAATTTTTTTTGGTTGGTTTGGGGGTTGAGACATTGGATTGGACCCCCAAGTGTGCATTTTTATGGTGTAATCCCCTGAGTAAAGGGTTTGTATGCAATAATTATGAGTCAAGGGTGTCATCTTGCCTCATGTTTAGGCATGTTCTAGGTGGTCCAAATGACCCACCTACAAAATGAAAGAAGAAAGAGCCAAATAGGTTGTTCCCCTTGATTTGGAATCCACATGGTCTGCATACATATTCCAAAAACATGGTCTTTATGATGTTATTGTTTGGCCCCCGGTCCAACCACTATTTTCCTCTGAGTGGGGAAATTGGCACCAGGAAAAAACAACGCTCATCAGATGACAGGTGACATTGTGTACTTGTAGCATTGATTACAACTTCAGTGTAGCTCCAGTGCTCCTGCAATCCAACCACAATGCCCCTTTGCTTGTTGTATGGGCTGAATTAGAATTGGGCTGGGTACATAATGGGTAGCATGATGAACTTAGCCTTATGTCACTTGTCATCAAGTAAGCATAGTTTTTTTTTGCTGGTGTTCTGTGTACAGCAGAATGCAGCACATAACTGTAGAGGTAACTGAACACTTACTCTCTGAGCTAGCTCTTTGGATCAAATCAAAATACCTTGGTTCAAAAATCTCTACAAGACTCTAATCTTGCACATACAGACTGTGAAGAGCTTCAAGAGCTGTTTTTTTTGTTAAAAACAAAAAAAGAACAGATCTGGATATGTAGATGATACACAAGAATGCAACAGGGAAAGGCCTTCAATTGGATTTGTTATGTCCACATCCAACTATTTACTTAATTGAAAAGAAAAAAATCAACTAATAATCTACAAAAAGACCAAATTATACCAATGGAAGTATAAAAACTGATGATCATTAGAGGTAAAAATTCTAGTGAACCTTTGGGGAAAAACCCCCATTTTTATTATTGTTGTGAAGAAGGAAAGAAGTTGAACAATCAGCAAAGATCTTTGTTAGTATAGAATCCACTTTGGGCGAACATGAAGAGAAAAAAAAAGAAGCAAAACCAAAAAAAAAAGAAGTGGTAACTCAACTGTTTTTATGGGAGATGAGAAATCCATGCAAAACCGAGAAATAAAAATGCAAACAGACCGAACCGATCAAATACAAGTTTTCAATCTTGGTAACCAAGATCATCAGGTTTGAAACATTCGGCCTATGATCTCCCCAGCAAGAAATAAAAGGGGGGGGGAGTGAGTTTTTGTGTCTTGATTCTGGTCCTTCAATCGTCAAAATCCAAATATCTTATGCAGAAAAGAAAGATGATGATGATGATGACCTGTGTAAGTTTCTCTTGAATAGCCTGGAACAAGACCCAAGCCAAATCACCGTATATAGCAACTTAATCGGTGTTTCTGGGAGGAAAAAAATGTATGAGCGGATCGATTTGATTTGAAGCCCACGAATATGGACACAAGACAAAGCAAAATCTCTGACCAGTAGAGTTTATTAATAATGGAAACAAGCCTGATATACCCGCTAGACTAGCAATTAACCAGGTCCGATAAAGATAATAATCTTGGACAGCAATTAACCTGAATAGCAATGAAAAGATTTAACATCAACACCATCAAAATCATTAGAGCAAATACAAAACGGGATGAGAAATGAGATTGGTTTTACGTCAAAGGAACCAGAAACAGGAGGGCGGCTTTCTCGTGTACGTGCCATCCAAACAGGAATGAGGTGAAAGCTGATAGGATGATTGACTTCAGGAACCGAATGTACGTCGGATCTTGCCATAATTTTGACATGATAATCTTGCAAGACGCGACCATGCAGAAAGAACGTGAGTTCATAAGCAAACGTGATGCCAAGCGAAGTTTCAAGGTTGCATCGTGCAAGTCATCATTACAGTGGGAAAAAGGGGGATTTTTATAAAAGACTTACGACCATAAATCCTAGAGTTAAACCCAAGCAAGTAGTAGGAGTAATCGAGGGCAAGACACCAAAACTGGTATCACCAATCAATCCCCTTGAACTAGAATTTAAGACGGATCGATCGATCTCAATCCCTCGCGATAACTGGTCTGAACGTTCAAAGATAGAAAGAAGGAGGACAACAGATTGTCTATTGAATAAACAGATTATTCAGGCAAGTTCAAGACTAAAAAAAATGAATGAGGAGGGTTTGAACAAAAGGAATCAGTCTGACATTTGATTAGGAATCGATCGATCGTACTATACAGAGCCCATACATTTCCAGCCCAATAGGCATGATTGAGGCCTCTTTTGAACGGGAACAGGCGGCTGATGATTTGCAAGATCCCATCGATGCCAGAGGTGAAGAAGAACGGGGCAAAGCTAACGGCAAAGGTTCCGATGACGATCAACCCAAGCTGGATTAACTTAACGAGAGAAAACCTGCTTCCATCATTTTCTTCTTGTCTCCGATTTGAGTCCTCCTCCTCCATACAATATGCGCGGAATAGGTAGATTAGAAATGGCGGGGATAGGTAGATGAAGATGTGCTTGAAGTTCAAGAGAGTGGCGAATAGACCTGCTGATAAACAGAACCTTTTCTAAAGATCAAAATCCAAAAGTAAGATTAAGATTAAAAATCTCAGTTTGTTGTATCTAGACACATAAACTGAGGTCGATTCACTTACTTCTCTTGCCGCCCAAATCGACCACAATAAGATTCCAAGCAGGAATCCGTTATATTGGAAGTGGATGTGATCGACGATGATTAAGCCGGGATGTAAGAAGAGGGAGGCGGCAGTTGCAAGGGCGATGGTTGCGTTATGTGGTTCGGAAGGCCTTCGGGTTAGTCTGTCAGATTTGAAGTTGCAGAAGGCATAATCGAAAATCGAGTAGAGCAGAAGGAATTAGTCGAATAAATTGACGAAGGTCAGGTGGGCTGGTGCATTGAAGGTTTTTTGCATGCTTTGAAAATGGATATCGGGGACCAACTTGAGTAGAGCTGCACCTAGGACGAGTTCAGTAAGGATCACTGTTACTCGTTGAAAGCCCACACAGCTCCATTCTTGGTAGCCCAGGTTGTCGAGTTGTACGATCTTCCGATCGACCAGGACGGCGATCCTTGATAGGAGATACTCGAAGAAGGCAAAGAATGGTGGATAGTCCAATGTCCATGGCGAGGTCTCCTGTGTGAGGCAGGTCAAGTCAAGTCAATCATCAATTATCCAAAGAAGGATGAGAGAATAATGCGCCAATATTCACGTCGTAATACCATTTCGAGAGCGGCAAGGAGTAAGTGATCGCGAGCCAATTCCTATGAACTTCGAAATCTGTTGATCGACTGCATAATCCGATCAGTTATTCTTGTTATCCTCAGTCCATGAACGGAGAAGGAAAAGAAATGGGAAGGACTTACTATGTGGGCAGTAGGATGAGCTTGATGGCTGTTGAGAAGAGTAGGATGTCCGCTTCCCCAGTGCTTAGTTGTGGCCATCTCATCGTGCTATCCTCTTCTCAGCCAGTCAGTCAGCAGCTTGCTTTTTGTGATATGGTCGAGTCTTGGCCATTTAAATCTTCTCCTGTTGACCAACTGCATACTTATGTACATAGTAGCACACACATTACATAAGCACTTTCAGCTGTCCTTTTGTCTCTCCCTTCTTCAAATCACGTCCAAAGCCAACTTCACCCTCTTGACCAATTGGCGTCATCCACATCACTAACATGACACCATCAACATCGCAACCAATCATGCTCGATTTAGCATCAGATGACTCTTCATCAGACGAAAAAGGTATGTATCCAACGAGTCCAATCTGATCTCAATCGACCCTTTCCCTATATCCCTATAATGCTGACTGTTCTTGCCGTTCTTATTATATCAGTTAACGATGCTCCGATGGCTGAGGATGCCCAGGCACGAAAAGGGAAAACTCCAGCGAAATCGAAGAAGCCAAAACCACCTGAAACTCAATTACCCCATCGACTATCATCTTTGACGCGATCGATCGTCGAGTTTGCAAAGTTCATGATGGGAACTACCGGGCGAGACAATTACCATCTCCCTGATCCACCAACATCCGAAGAACTTAAACAGTACGAGGCTTGGGGTATCGACTACGTTCAAGCCGTAGACGCCTTTCATCAGGAACAAGCCAGCAGAAACGATATCGAGGACGAAGCCGAAAGGGAACATCTCAAGAAGAAAGAGCTCAAAGAACTAGAGTTGTCCCTTCAATCGACCCGCTACGAACCAGCACCCATCCCACCGAACTACGAGATCTCAAAACACTTCAAAGATCAGTGCGACCAATCTTTCCGATTAAAAGGATTTCCACGGATCACATTCCAATGGAACAAACCCAGCTTGGAAGGCTCATCATGGAACTTTGCCACTGCCGATATCCTGGCCAATCAGTGGCACAGTTGGTACATCAAGGATCGACGTTATTCCCCATCGACTAAGCTAACAGTCGATGCTAAAGGTGTGATCGGGAGATGGCTCAAGACTGCTGCCATGAACCAGGCCCAGAAGCCAAAAGAAGAGTCATCTGAAAACTCAACTCGCACAACTCAGGAGATGAACACGTTAAGAAGGCATCGCGAACAACGACGCATCCAAGTAAGCATCTCTCTTTTTTATTATTATTCTTCTACCTGCTACAGGCCCTCAGCTCTTCAGATCTGATCGTTTGTTTACCTGGATCTGCCCCCCCCCTTCCCGATGTTGAACTTCGGTTTTTTATAGATTGCTCGACATCGCCATGCGAGCGCAATGCGTTCCGTGCCCAAACAACACAAGGAATACCTATCTGAACTGCTATCTGCAAATGACATGTCATCGGACTACGAAGATGACGAGGATCCAGAGGTACCACCGACCAGGATCCTTCCCTTTTGGCGTAGTAAAGCACTTACCGATCTCTTACACGAGTTAGATGTAGCCACTATCCAATTGGCAAGTTCTGAGAAAAAACCCAACCTCATCAAACTCCTTCAACGGAAGGAGACGCGTGAAGC